ATCTGTCTTTTTCAAACTGGGCTGCTGTATTCTTAGCGTAAATTCCTAGAAGTGGAATTCCTGGGTCAAATCGTATTTCTATTTTGGGCTTTTTGAGGAACCTCCATACTGCTTTCCACAATGGTTGGACTAATTTACATTCCCACCAGCAGTGTAGGAGGGTTCCCCTTTCTCCACAACCTCACCAACATTTGTTGTTGTTTGTATTTTGGATGGTGGTGATCCTTATTGGTGTGAGGTGATATCTCATTGTGCTTTTAATTTCATCTTCCTGATGACTAGCTATGTGGAGCATCTTTTCATGTGCCTGTTGGCCATCTGAATTTCTTCTTTGAAGAACTGTCTGTTCAGCTCCTCTGCCCATTTTTTAATTGGATTATTTGCTTTTTGTTTGTTGAGGTGAGTGAGCTCTTTATATATTTTGGATGTCAAGCCTTTATTGGATCTGTCATTTATGAATATGTTCTCCCATACTATAGGATGCCTTTTTGTTTTGTTGATGGTGTCATTTGCTGTACAGAAGCTTATCAGCTTGATATAGTCCCACCTGTTCATTTTTGCTTTTGTTTTCCTTGCCTGGGGAGATATGTTCATGAAGAAGTCGCTAATGTTTATGTCCAAGAGATTTTTTCCTGTTTTCGTGGAGTGTTTTAAAAGATCTATAGCTCATATGCTGCACAGATGCTCTAATTTTCCATGTTCTCAACATTGATAATTCAGAAGGGACTGGAGAGAAAATGGATTGGTCAGGAGCTGAAAAAATGGGTTTTTATTTCTTGTGCCTGGCACAATTAAATCCTGAAGCAATGTTAGATATTTCTGCACTCAAAGAGGCTTTGCTCAATCAAGCTGTGGAAACTAGGCTTACATACATGGGATAATTAGGGAACAATAAAAAGCAGAATATAATTAAATGATGAGTTAAGAAGATAATATTATTTCTCCCTAAATCAAAATATTACTGTTCCCTTATTGTTGCATAGGGCTCACTGTCTTTTCAGTTTAACATATATTATTTGGTGTTCAGCAGGAATTGGCAGGATTGGAATATATGGTTTAGATGTCTTCACCATTTTCATTATCATCATCCTCAAGCACAGGTGTGACAATTCAGGACCTATCCTAGGCTCCTGAGTTTAAATAATATAGTAAATTCCCACAGAAATTTCCAAGCTTAACTAGATAACATGGATTAAGAATATAGACAGAAAAAGATGCAAAAGGGACAACTGTGCAAATATCAGCATCCTTAAATAGTGCAGTTTTCTATAGTTCCAGTAGCAAGTGAAATTTTTCTGTTGAGAATAGGGACTAACCATTTTTCAGGCAGAGGAGAAGACCTTCCTGTAGATAATATGCTTCAGAAACCTCTTAATGGAGAAGTACCTCAATTCTGGTTGCAAATAGTTTCCTACTGACCACAAACTGATGGGTGATGGATGTTCAATAATTTTTAAACCAAATTGTTCTAGAAAGCTAATTTTCCTGCAATATACATTTACTGTTTTACATAAACTAAGTTCCCAACTAGTAAATTCATCATTTTAATCCAATACATAATATTCAGTTAAACATTATAAGTATCTCTAATTTGTGCTTTTTCTGGTAGTGATTCTAAATTGCAGTGGGCCATGCTTACCCCTGGAAATTCTGATGCTCCAGTTTTTAATGCTACTGACTTCCCACTTCTGGTTGAGAATCAGTGCTTCACTGAGTCCCACTTCCTGTTAGATGTGTATGTTGAGTTTCTCAGTTTTGTTAGCTCAGATACTAAAACCAACCCAACATACTACTAGGTGCCGTATACACTTGTAATCTTTATAGCAAGTCCAATAGGTAGGTATCAAATGAAGCCCAGTGAGTTTTCCTAACTTAATCCAGATCACATTGAGCCAATGATCAGAAGAGCCAGGATTTGAACCCTATCTGTCTCTCACTCCAAAGCCTGTGCTAATTTTACTGAACCACCAGATTCAAATCTTCCATCAAAGATGGTTTGGTTTGAGTTATTATAAACTTTGTTACCACACTGCACTGAATCCCTAGGTATTTTTTGTTTGATTTTTTTTTCATGGAAGTAATGGTATTTTATCTCTTTGCTCTTTCTCTTTGCAGGAATAACCACAGTCCTCACCATGACCACACTGAGCATCAGTGCACGGCATTCTTTGCCCAAAGTGTCCTATGCTACTGCCATGGATTGGTTCATAGCTGTCTGCTTTGCTTTTGTATTTTCGGCCCTTATTGAGTTTGCAGCTGTCAATTATTTTACGAATATTCAAATGGAAAAAGCCAAAAGGAAGACATCCAAAGCCCTCCAGGAAATGCCGGCTGCTCCAGAGCTAAGAGAAAACTGTCCTGAAGTACCTCTGCAGGTATTTGGTGTAATCTCCTTCAGTTTAAGACTTCAGTTTCTTGATGAAATTTGCATTGCTAGGGAGAAAACTGAGAAGCTGAAAATTTCAGTGACAATTCGTAAGTCATTTAAGAATCCAGAGAAATATGAAAGGAAAAACTATCAATTTAAACTTTAAAACTATGATGAGTGGCTTAAAAGTTAAACACCCCTGGATGAGCTAAGTGTTTGTGGAGTTAGTTGTTTGAGAGTTCCTGTCATAATTGAAAGATTTGACACAAAGGAGCAAAATCTCATGTATCCAATTAAGGGGAACCTGTGGATATCTTTGAGTGGGTTGGAAAGGCATTTTACTAGAGTTCATTGAACAAAATAAAGCAGCAGTCTTCACAGGGTGCCACATTAGAACTATACCATGGGGTTAGGTGGCCTGTGCCCTTATATTAAACAAGAAAATAAAACCAATAAAGAAGAACACCCATGGGGTAGATGTACGTTCAAGACTGAGATTTCTTGTCCTAAAGGGACAGATCTAAAAGGATGTGAAAGCCTAGTGAAGGCCACTGTAATTTTACATCGGGCATGTCAGTGATTCTTCAATTAGAAAAAAAAATCAAAGTGACGTTTTCCTCACAGACTCCGGTTGTACAAAAACAGCAAGATCTTCATGAAAACAGGAAAGTAAACCAGCAGCCTCCTTCCCCATCCTCCTTTTCCTCCTCCTCCACTACTCTGCTCTTTCTCTCTTATTTACTCAGCTGAGCTGCTTTCCTGAATCAGCAAACAATTGTCAGTGGCCACGTGTACACAGCAGTATGGTAGCTGTCCCAAACTGTAGTCTAAAACCCCTTTTGTCTGCTTGTGCCCAAATCAAGTGTATCTAAATCATCAGCTCTATTCTTTGTAAGTCATAACTCATTCCCTTACTTGTTCATTCATTCATGTTTTCACTTATTCAGCAAATAGACACCCAGTGCCAACTACGTGCCAGACTGTATTTATGGTCTGGGAATCAACAAGGTACAGACACCTTCGACAAATGTCCTGACCTAGGGAGCTTATATATATATATTTTGAGAGGGCATCTCTCATATTTATTGATCAAATGGTTATTAACAGTTAACAACAATAAAATTCTGTACAGGGGACTCAATGCACAATCATTAATCCACCCCAAGCCTAATTCTCATCAATCTCGGATCTTCTGAAGCACAATGAACAAGTTCTTACATGGTGTACAAATTCTTACATAGTGAATAAGTTCTTACATGGTGAACAGTACAAGGGCAGTTGTCACAGACTTTCGGTTTTGATCACGCATTATAAACTATAAACAATCAGGTCAAATATGAATATTCATTTGATTTTATACTTGATTTGTATGTGAATCCCACATTTCTCCCTTATTATTATTATTATTATTTTTAAATAAAATGCTAGGGAGCTTATATTTAAGTATGTAGGACAAGGAAAGTGAGACAAATGGCTTAAAAAACATAAGTAATAAAACGTGCTGTGTGTTAGATGGTGACAGTGCTGTGTGAATGTTGAAGCAGCAAAGGGGGAAGGATGGGATTCAGTTCAGAATATAGGTGGTTAGGGAAGTCCTCTGATGAGAAGATGGCAGTAGAACAAGTGAGGTTAGGTGTTCTCCCTGGCAAGGATTAAGTGGTCTAGGTTAATAATATATAGCTCTGTTTCTACAGGGTTCTGGGCATTGTTTTTTTTAAGGAAGGCATGTGGGCACATAGTAAAGTTATTGCCCTTCCATTGAGTAAGTTTGGATAGCTTACATTTTCCCTTAAAGTGACCTATTTCATCAAGACTTTCAAAGTTATTAGGAGAGATTTTGTGTATTATTTTCAGTTTAGAAAACCCTGATTATCTGCAATTTATTGCTTTTCCTGCTCCCCATAGATTAATTGTGCCTGCTCTGCCTTTCATTCTTGTTTTATTTGCTTTGCTTTTTGTGCTGAGGCTTTAGCAGAAGAATTCTATTTACTGTTCCTTTCCAAACAATTCAAGTCTTGGACTTTTTAATTTATTTAATATTTATTTTACTAGTTCTGTTTTTTAATTATTGATTCATAACCTATTTTAATTCCATATTTCTGCAGGTTAGTTTTGCTGCTTTTTTTTCTAGTTTCTCAAGTTTTATTCTTAAGTTATTTTCCTGTTTCTTATAAATAATAAAGTTTCCTTTATTGCAATAAGGTTTCCTTTGCATAAAACTTTGGCCATAATTCACAACTTTTGATATATATTATAATCATTTGCTAAATATCCTGCACTTATGTGCTATTTTTCTCTATAAGCTCAGAATTATTTGGAATATAACATTAAATTTTCCAAAAGGGGCTTCGATTTTTTAATTCTACTGTTTATTTTTAGTTGTATTGCACTGTGTTCAGAAATGTTACCTGTACAGATTTCAAAGTTACTGGTATTTTCGTGGTGCTCTGAGTTATGCTAAAAGTTTATAAATATTTGACAGGAGTTTGAAAGGAGTTGATTTTGAGTTATTAAAACAGTTTTACTTAAAAAATTAGTATTTCACCCTTTTAATAAGTCACATGTTATCTTCTTGATCTTTTAAATACCAAGAAGGATACAAACAATTCCCCAACTAATATGAGATTTTATTATTTTGCATTTTAACTATTTTTGTTTTGTGCACTTTGATACTGTGATATTCAACATATAAAGATACATAACTGCTCAATTTCCATACCAGTCTATGCATTTAATCAGAAAATAACCTTTTTTGATCCCATATAATGCTTTTCTCTTGAATTCTATTTGGCCTGATTTTAATATTTTTTATATTCTTAATAATTAACTTTAATAAAGCATTTTGGTTGCTAAATGTTCCTTTTTCTTTCTTTTCTCATGTACTTTGGAAGCTATACATCCTATTTTTATATCACTAGTGGTTAAGTTTTAAAGCAACATATTTCTAATCATGCTTTTCTAATAATGTTGAAATTATAAAACATACTGACTTTTCCATGTAGCCATTAACTTCCTCTAACCCCAGGATTGCTGAAGTTCAAAGATTCTGTATTTGGAGACACATTTTATATCTGTAATTATTTTTCTGTTTATAATGGGTTGATGTAGTTTTTTCATTTTTGCAAAGTGGTGGGACTTCTTGCACTTGTGTTATAATGGAATATTAGAAATACTTGAAAGTACCACTTAATCAGAATAAAATTATTCTGCAGAATTTCCAAAGGTGGGGAGAGGACTATTTGTTCCTTGAAACATCTCTCTTGATCGCAGCAATTGTCATTGCTGGTGAATGTTTGGTGGGGCATATCCGATAGGCTACGTCTGCTGTGATTCAGAGACTCCTCTTGGCAGCACAGGCCACTGCTGTGTGTAAATGGCATAACCAAGGTCAGAAGATAAGATCTGTTTGTGAGGGGCAAACAATCATAGTATTTAAGGGTTGGGAAGAACTTTATGATAAATCTAGTTAAAATATATATCAAATGCTTCATGTCCTCTGTAATGGGTGACTGTGTCTATGATAACTTACATCTCCACAGCAGTTTACTTGAGGAATATCTTTGTTAAAAACAGTGATGAATAGGTTGACCCACCCACCCATCCTGACTCCAGATCCCTGCGAAAGCACAGCTACCTCTGAAAAATCCATCAGTTGTCATCGAATGGCTTCAGTCTTAAGTTCAACTTTGAAGGTTGAGAATACATTAAAATTGAGGGATGGAGGGAAGGAGATGGAGAGAGAAGGGGAATGGTGGGGAGAAGGAAATAAGGAAGAGGTGAAAGAGTGTGTTAAGAGTAAAATTTTAAAACTTTTTACTGGAAGGAAATATTCTAAGAATCTTAGAGGTTTGCAATTTCAGTAGACATTCTAAAGAGCTGAAATTTGCTTACTTAAATATGTATTCTAACTTGTATGACTGTTTACTTATTTGAATGATGCTGCCTTTATTTAAAATGTGTTTAAACTCCTTCTTTGGAATTGTCTTCTGGGTTTACATGACATTTAGTGATTCAATAGTCCTTTGGGTAAGCTCACTAGTGGTTTGATTCATTGTCACTATAATGTGACCTATGGACTGTTAATGGCCTGGCAGAGGTTTATGGTGGCCATTTCTAATGGGAATTGGCAAGCATATGGTTTATGGAATATTCATGAAGCAAGGAGAAAGGGCTGGTTGGCAGAACCTAAGAGCAGCCTGAGCATATTTGTGCATCTCACTGTTCTTCAACTGCTCAGCATTACCTTAATTCTGCCTTGACTCTGTTTTTCTAACATTTGAGTTGAGCTCCATTCTTGTGGCTCTATCCTTCCTACCCTTACTACTTCTTAGAGCACCTATGCTGTCATTGATGCAGGTGATTTGGATTAATGGATAGTTTGGAAAATAAATAACTACAAAATGAAAAGGGAACATTTCTGAATAAAATTGTATTTCAAAAAATCAATTTAAAATATACCCTATAGACCTTTTTCAATGAGAAAGCATACATTAATGTGTGCATGTTGTATCTTGTGAAAAAAAATCCAAAGATACAATGACTAAAATTACTTGAGATCTTAAATTGTGTCAGATACTATATAATAAATTTTACAAGTGTTACTTAATTTCCAGCTCACAATAACTATACAACAGATGAAGAAACTAGGCTTGCAGTTGTTGAGTGACATGTATTCAAGGAATGATAAGCCCAATTTTTAAGGTAACTCAGCTGTGTCTGAGTGCAGAGCTTCTTCTCTTTTATTAAAACTCTATAATATTTCATTTATATTTATGATAGACATTAAAATGTGTAATACATTAGAATATGCATAAGAACATATATATGTATAAAATGAATAACCCAACATAATCTTTTGTTCATATTTCTATAAATAAATAATAATAGCTTTGTATGTGCCTCAGTAATAAGAGCTTTTACAGACATCATATATGTAATTTAATTCTAACAGCTTATCAAATATGCCTTATTGTAATCCATGTTTCACCAATGAGGACATTGATAGTT